GGGAGGGATCAAAGGCCACAGAGGAAAGAACCCCAAACAAGGGGGCAAGGGTGGTTTGTCCACCCAGCTCTCCCCCCCCCCATCCTTAAGGCCCGGAAAGCATGCAAACAAGGTTTTCCACAGTTGAATCTTGGGTGCGGGGCAGGATGTTTACTAAAAAGTAATTCCTAAATGCTGGCGGTTGTCTCCGATATTAAAATGTCAAACATCTACCCTACACACACGCTGTAAAGTTCTTTTAAAAATCTCACCTTCTTCCTCTTGTTTATCAGACTTTTAAAAAAAAAATAAATCTAATGATGAAATGTTTCCAAGAGCTAGGAAAAGTGTCCGCCCCCCTTTTATTTTATTCTCCCCCCTTTATTTTATTTTTCCCTGCCTTTGTTCCCAGGGGAACAAAGGCAGCTTGGCTAGGAAGTTCCGGGAGCCATGTGCCAAAGGAAGGGAAGGAAGAAACGGAAAGAAGAGAGAAGGAGAGAAGACGGGGAATCTTTCCTAAGGGGTTTCCTTGAGCAAGCACATCGGCGCGCGCGCGCGCGCAGGGCACGGGCTGGCGGGTTCCCCCTTCCCAGTCTAGAGGCCAACCTTCGTGGTGGAAGCTCCTCACGGTGTTGGCCCGGCTGGTGGATTTCTCCGGATACTGAAGGTGCAGATCGTGAAGGCTTTCCTCCTCTTCCCCGGACTGGAGGCGGTAGAGATCCAGCATGTAGGAGGGGATGACAGCCGTCGGGTTGGGTTGGGGCCGCCGTCGGAGCCCGAACATCTGGAGGAGGGTAGCCTCGAACCCGCGGAGGAGGTCATGGTTTGGCAAGGCGGCACGGCGCGGCGGCGGGGGTCCCAGGGCCCCTTGGCGGGCTCCCTCTTCTCCCCTGGCGCCTTGTCGCGGTTGCTGTTGCTGCAGATCTCCGGGCACCTTCTTCTTGCCAGTCTCGGCGGGTATCAAGCTGGCACGGTTGGTACCTCCGAGCAGCAACTGGCATAATAAGATGACCATCAGCATACGGTTACCAGGCGTCATGGTGTCTCTGGGGAGGGGAGGAGAGCAGGAAGGAGGGGAGGGGGGGCAAGAGAGGGAGAAGAAGCAAACAAACAAGCAAGATTGGTCCAAGGGGATCCAGGCGAGAAAGGAAAGAAAAATCCCATAATTTGTTTTTTTGCGCCTGCCTTTTAGGAAGGCACGCAAACACACACACACACACACACAACCGGCGGAGAAGTGGCCAGCAAAATGGAGGGAGGGCAGAGGCATCCGGTGGGCAAACCGCCCCCCCCAATAATAAAACCTCTCCTTTTCTTCTGTGTCGTTGGGACCAGCGTGGGCAAACATGCGGGCGTGCAAAAAAGTTTGCCTTTGCACAGGCGCGGGCGTGCGCAGGCAACTTTTCCACACTTTTGGGGTTTGTTTGCAAAGTTGCAGAGTGGTCGGTGAGCCTAATTTGCTTGCACAGTGTCCCTGTGAAAAATGGAACATTTCCGAAAGCTTTGTGTTTCTCCGCGGGGGAAACCCCTCTCTCTCTCTCTCTCTCTCTCTCTCTCTCTCTCTCTCTGTGCGTGTGTGTGTGTGTGTGTGTTTTCTCCCCGGGGGGAAAATGGACATCTTCGGAAATGTTACATTTCTATTCCCTGTATATTAAAACAATGCGTTTCCTTCTTCTGGATGCCTCGCCTCCCGCCTGGTTCCCGTATACCCACGCTCTCAGGCAGAGGGTTCTTGCCGTTCGCTCTTTTTCGCCCCACTTCGCAAAACTCCAGTCCCTCAACAATTAACTATTTCCCCCTTTAAAAAAAAGCAAATAATTTCTCCCCAAAAGCACGTGGCGGGGACACTACTGCGGATGCACCGGGGTCATTGTTAACCCAGCTTCCCTGCTTTTAAAGAAAAGGGGGGGGGAAAAGACCCTCCAAACCGCCTGGAAAACGCTTTTTCAAGCCAACCGGGGATTCGGGTCGCAAACCGCCCCGGGTGCCAGTTGCCAACCAGTGGATTCCCGGGCACGTCGCAATCGGGGCTTCGTGGGGAAGGCTGGAGCGCCTCTACGGCGTAAATGCCTGCTGGATCGCGGAGGAGGGGGAAATCTGGCCCTCCCGGGTGCCCTGAAGGCTTGTTTGTGGACAAAACGTTCCGCGCACGGAGGAAGGAGAAAGCGATGGTTGGTCATCTCTCCCCGACCCAAGGAAAAAAGGAGCGTGCCTGATTTTAGGCACCTTTAACTGGGAAGCAAGTCCCGTTTCGCTTCGTGGGGCTTACACTCGAGTAAAAGCGGGCAGGACGGCAACCCTCGAAACAGCCGGCGAAGGAACTACTGGGGGGGGGGAGTTGAGAATCCGCAACTACAAAAAAGTTTGGCTTGTTTTCCTCCCTCTCTCTGTGTGTGTCCGTCCGTCTCGTGTGTGAGTGACACACGCACGGACCCGAGCTTGGGATGGTCCTGTTCAGTTTGACGCGTCAGGCTCAGCTTTTGCTGTCCAGCCCGGGAGGGGGGGGGCGAGCAACGCACGGGGAAGGTCTACTCACTGTCCGAAAGCAAGGCAGATAGAAACAGTCCATGGTTCTCGGCCGCCAGCGTGGAGCAGGAGCAGGGCCCGTGGAAAACGCTCTCTCGAGCGCGCGCCGCTCCGCCGTCCGACCGACTCGCGACCAAGGCGTCCGTGGGGGAGGAAAGAGAGCGAGCGGGTGCGGCGCTGGCGCGCGCGCGTGTATGTATGTGTGTGTGTGTGTGTGTGTGTGTGTCTCTCTCTCTCTCTCTCTCTCTCTCTCCCTCCGGGACGGGGCGCGCGTGGATACGGGGGTCTGCCTCTCTCTTGCTCGCTGGCCCGCTGCTGCTCCAGGTGGCGTCTTCACGCAAGACGGGAGAGCGATCGGGAAATGAATATATTGGAATATAATGAAACTCGCGAGCAGGCTGCCGCCTGCTTTTCTTCCAGCCTGGGGAGCGAGTCACGTGTATTCGAGCCTGTCAATCAGAAGAGG